AGAGGTTAAAGGCTTCTTTGTCCTTCAGTATTTCATCCAGTGGAGTTCTTTAAATCATAGATAATTTTATTGGATCTAATTTCTGAGAACAAATGTAAGAACATTTCACTGTGACCAGTTTTTGCACAGAGATTCAAGCTGATATTAATTTGGCTATCTCCAAAGATTTTGATTGCATCAGATAAATAACGTACTATATTTGCCATCAGCTTTAGAGCAGCTATACTGAGGGGACTTTTGACTGACTCCTCTCTGGTGGATTATGACACCAAATATAGAACTCAGTGGACTTTTTATAGGCTAACAGGTAACTTTGTTGTTGGAGACCCATAATACTTTCAAAGCTATCACCAACTCCCTGATAAAATCTCTTCACTTTTATTGTTTCATTACATGAAATTTTAGTGGTGTTAGTAGTCCTTGTCTGACAAACATTCCTTGTCTGACAAACATTCCCTTTCTGACAAACTGTTGTTGTACTTGCAATTATAAATCAAAATGTTTTCATTCCTTTTTTTGTATTCTTCTGGCAAATAAAAATGAAAATGTTCTTATGCTGCTTTTCCTGTGTCTGTCTGCAGACTTTGACCAAAGGACCTAGTTGGTTTTCCTGTGGGTCCTAGAAGTTGTGGAAAGAAAGTTCATGACTAACTTTTTTCTGAGAAAGATTTCAATACGGTGTTCATTTAAAACTGTAATTGTCATCACTGTGATGCACGGACTACCACTTTCAAATGAATGAATATTGATAGCAGATGATGATATGTGTGTCCTGGATGATGAAAAAGGAAGATCATAAGCCTTGATCTATCCTGTAAAATGATTTTCAACCAGATGCAGTAAGACAGTACTGTGCATGAATTGATAGATGTCTGCATGGTTTTGGAAACATAGTAAAGACAGATGTTAGGTGTATACCTAGTTGACAATGCTTTACCTAATGCATTACGTAGAGAAAGAGATGGGAATTATTTGCATCATCACATGTTCCTTCAGGTCTGGATTTCTATTTGATGTTAAATTTTCTCGGGTATAACAATCTCATTCATTTCTGTAAGCTGTGTGAGTATTGACAGTGGCTATCCTGAATGGTTTTTTCAATACTTTTCATCTACCTGGGCATGCACGGCCAGAGTTTATAGCACTTTATCTTATGATGTAAAACACAACCATACAGGTTGCAGTTATGCCTCGCAGGTATGAACCACATTTAAAACAGCACTGTAGGTTGCTGATGGTGTCTTCTGGATACACGTCAACACATGTACCATTTCCTAAGTTATATAATTCTATGTATATCCAAGCAGACAAACTGCTCAGGTTTAACTTCAATATGGTGCTCCCATAAGATATGAAGATGATTGGTATGTGAGCACTGACAATTTTGTGGCAATAGCCAAGTATAGCATACACAGTATGTACATCTCTCTTTAGAATCATTGTATGCCTAAAAATAGGGCTGCAATATATCAGTCGTAAACCACTACTCTTTGAGCTGTATATAATATAATCTAATTTTGAACACTGACAAAGAGTATTAGAAACTGTCACTTTACACTATGTAATTTCTCTTCTTTAAGGTTGCAAAATGCTAGTAAAGGACCCAAATTTGTCTTATACATAATAAACAAGTTAGCACTGATTGCCTGCTGACACTGAGCACTTTTGGCTTCTACAAGGCAGATGACTTTATGCACAGTCATGAAAGTTATGAATGTGTGTGTGGACTGGATGTTACATGACAACACATTAGGATGAAAATGTGGATTAAACACACTTTTTCTGACTTAACACACTGCTCTGCAAGTGGTGAATCCATATGGGCATGCACTGATTGCCAGTTACACTGTTCTGTTGCCAGTGTATAAGTAATACAATACTTCACTAAAAATTCTTCAAACTTCATTGTTATATTGTTGAGGACTAATCAGGTACTTTAGGAAGTTATTTTATCTCAGTTTTCTGTTACTAATCCCAGTTCCCAGAAAGCTAGTTCCCAGAATGAGGGATGGGCAAATGGGTTATCCAGGAACATGTGCATGGCACAGAATGAATGTGATTATTCCACATGTTAGTGCCAGGCAGCAAGATGGAAAGAATATTCAGCATATATATTACTGCAAGAGCAAGAAAAATAAGGGGCATGAAAGGCTATGAATTAAGATATGCTGAGAGCTTTCCAAGGAGATTAAAGTTGTAGTTATGAAAAGGACGTGATACAATTTCATAGGGTAGAAGTTACTATTAACTAAACAGAAATCTTAGGTTTATGTGGTGGCTATAATTATAATCTGTGGATGATGTCATTCTAGAGGAGAAGAAACTAAGCTGTGTGACCGGAGAGCTTTGTGCCCCCATAAATGCAGCATGTGTAATGATTATTGTTTATGTAGTTTTACTGTGACAGCAAGCAGCACTATGCTGCATGCACATCCCAGTATAGAAAATTGTCTTCAGCATGCTAGTTTACATCAGCATTTCTTCATTTATGTCTTCTCTGCCTCTAAAATTTATTTCATCTACACTATTGGCAGACCATAGCAATACTTAAGGTTTTCTCCACAAAGCGAACATACTTTATGTATGCTACTCACAGAATGTCCTCTTTCAAAGACATAATAGGCAGGTACAACTGAAAATGTTAATAAATTGACTATAATTTGTAGATGATATGCTCAAGTTTATGTATACTCTGAAACAAGACCTGTTTATGACGCACGTGTTTAATGCTGTATATATGCTTCTTTGAAATACATTTTGATTTTAGGAACAGATGTTTCCTATGATCACATACTGATGATCCTTCAAAATATGATCTTCTGATTATTATTGGGCATTCCTAGTTACATATATTCGAACATCAAATAATGCCATATCATACAAAATGTATGCTGCCTAACATTAGAAACTACCTTAGATAAAGCATCAAATGGAGCCAGTTACAAGTGATGGTAGGCCTTTGATGCTTAGCAGACATTTTCAGCATGACATGATGGCACTGAGGATAATGTTTTTCTCTATCAGCCTTTGACATCACAGATGGTAAGTCACAAGAATGAGTTAGGAAGATTTGACTCACACATTACATATTTTTCATGAGACTAATGGCAGACAACTCATTGAATTCCATGCATATATCAGACATTAATTTTATGAGCACACGGTTCATTTACACCTGATTTTGTAACTGACATATGTTGAAATGGTCTTATAAGAACCACTCTGTTTGTCTGCACTCTGTGTAGTGTGAGCTAAGGAAGTATGCCTGACATTACAGTGCTGGTGTATCAGTCACAGCTATACTGTTGTATTCAATAACAGCTTATCTGTTCCTCAGCTCCCACACAATATTATTTGATTTACAGTATAGCTGAACACGTAAGTGGCCAGTGACAGTTGTTTCTTCCATAGATAATAATGATTTCCCTTATGGCTCATAGAGCTGCAGTTATCTATTTACACTTCTGGAAACAGACATGTCCAGAGACACTCTTGAAAACAACAAAAGGCAACAGGGAGGTATTGCTCTGTAATGGCTGCTTCACGTCTCCTACTGCCATGGTGCAGGGTTTCCTTCATCTCTGCTAATTAGGTGATACAACTTAGTCCATGTTGTGAGAAGATATGGAAGCCAGGACAGAGCAAGCCTCTGTAGTCATATATCCTTGCTCCTCCACCCAGTCATCTTGTGCTCTCTCCAATTTAGGCTGCTAATGGTATGGTAGCTTGCATTTCTACTTTCTTAAAAATCCAGTGCCTGGAATATTCACTGTTCATTTTGCTATGTGTCTTTTTTAAGGTTTGTCCTAATGAAGATTAAAATGCAAAAGAAAATAAAAAAATGAGAATAGGAATGTAATGCTGCTGTTGCTAATAGGCAGACTGACTTTCTAGTCTATGCACTTTTTTTCTAACCAACAAACTAGAATTAGATTCTATATAATTTGGTACCAAAAGCTACATTTAGCTGACATTTAGATTTTGAAGTAAGACCCCCAAAAAAGTTGAAAAATCAAAAATTAAGCCTTACATTTTGTTTTTAACCCACAGTGCTAATGGCACAGGAGTCTTGATCAAGCAATTGGGAGGTGAAGTATACTTCTAAGAAAAAGAGTAAGTCTGCCCCTTATGTTTAAATCTATTAGCTTCTGTTATGCTCATTCATAAAATTAGCCTTTAAAAATCTTTTTCTTTAATTATTCCCTCCCTTTGCCCCACTTTGAAAGCAGAAAAAGATCAAAAGTTCATAGGAATATATAAAATGTGTATTACATTTATTCAGGAGACTTGAAAGGGCTCCTTTGGAGCCATTTGAGTCTCTCCATCCCAGCCTATCCAGTAAATATACAGTTACATATTTTTTAAGATGTATTTTTTGATAAAAATTAATTTTTGTCTACAGTCAATAACCTTTTCATAGGTTTATACATTGAAAGGTCAAAGGAAACACTGCCATCATCTACTCTGGCCTCCTGCATCGTACAGACCATAGTACTATGGAGATACACGACCTTGTATAGTCAGCTTGATAGACTGTAGCTGATTAACACAACACATATTCAGTTTTGTATTGTTCCCCAGTACAGATCATGACAATAGCAATACGGAAATGTTTATTAAAAAAGTTACGGCACATGAGCAGGAACCCAGATTGCAGAACTGAAAATATTTTAAATTTGCTTTTTCTTAATTCTGATAGTTATAGGCCCTGGTAGAGAAATAACTATTCAAAAAAAAAAAAATTGTCTTAGAACTTTTACTCATTTGAGTTCAAAATTAGATCAGGCAACATCGCTCATTTACTCAGGACTTCTATAATTTGAAACTAGCCAGTAAGTATTTGGAAATTACAGTGAACACAATAGCTCCTACATCTTTTACTTAAAGCAAACCTTTATGACTGCATTACAACCTACTGAAAATATGAGTATGTAACAGAAATGTTGACACAATCTTGCTCTGCATGACATAAACATGCCGATATAATACTATTTTTCTCCCTCTCTCTGTATATAGCATATATGCACTTTTAAGTAAAAGAAAATAGATTAAACAGTCAACTTATCATGTATTCATGTATCTATGATGTACCATATACCAAGCACTAGAATTATCACACTTACCTTCCTGCATAATTAAATTATCCAAATACAAATATTTTTGTTACCTTATCAAAGAACAACAGTCAACATGCTCACCACTTCATTACTGTCAGGGAAACAGTTGCACAAAAAGTTAAAGCTGCCATGAAAGATATTTCAAAATTGAAGTGAAATTTTTAAGTGAATAAAAAAACCTCAGATGAGATGCAGTTCTGACTTAAAAATAATATTAAGTAAGTTCTCCTGTTGTAGAGGAAAAACAAATGCAGAATAAGTAGTGCTGTTAGCATTTTCCTCCAACTATCCAAGGGAAAAAACCTGGAACAGCAACATCAATCTTTTTGTTCTGTGCGTAGCAGAACATAAGTTGTAGTTTGTTGACAATAAAAAATTCTCCATGGATTAAATTGTGTATGTGTGCATTTGTGTGCTTTTATAAGTAAACAAACACACACGCATATTAACATATATGACAAACAGGCATCAAATTTTAAATTCACCAAATGAGCTGATCTGCAGTAAAAATCCTGTGTTAATAAACTGTCAATAAATCTATATTTTCAGCAACAACTGAAATGAATTTACTAAATAATGCTATGGGCTGATACTGGTGCGCTTCTAACCTACAGTATGCAGTACTTCTAAAAACATCTCCAAAATGCCATCTGCATTGCATATTTGTTGTAAAACTATATCTTTTCCTAATCTTCATTTTTGTTAACCATACATATGTATATCTGTTTATGCTCTAAGAAATAAGTTTGCAATGCTTTATAGCATGCCACATACATTTGAAAGTCCTCAAATCAATATAAAATCATGTAATTGAAAAAAAGACATACTATTTTTCATGCTATGCTCAATATAAATATAAATTCAAGGCAGTCAAGCTATCCATTACCAAAACAATAATAATTGTAATACATATGTATATATACCTACACTCTCTAAAAAGTGATCCAGTTATGTAGATTAAGAAACCAGTAAGAAATTGGTTGAACATAGTATAAAAGTCTCATTTTATGTAAAAGCCCATACTGGCCATTTCAAGTATTTTAATACTTTCCTATAACCTTTTCATTAATAACTAGGTATTTGTAGAAATAATAATTTTATACTGAAAATTGTATTCAAGTTAAATAAAAATTAACTTCTGCTGTAGTTCATTTTTAGAGTGTGCATGTATACATAGCAAAATACCTTTCTACAGATCAATCATAAATATTTTAGTCTATGACAGTTCTTTCCTACTAAAACACTTCAATGTTTTTTTCTCAAATTTTGGATCATATCTATCAGGCCTTTCAAGAAATAAAACTCAGTTCATTTGCAACACCAGATTCCCTTCAGTTTGTGCCAGTTTGCAAGTTAAAGGTCAAAGACACAGGACAGTACACTTTAAGGAAATTCAGACAGTGAAGCTGTTCACAGAAGACAATGTTTAACTTGGTAATGACAGTCAACAGGTCAATAATCAAGTTCAAGGCAAGCTGTTCATTGTTGCAAAAGTTACTCCCCTCAAATCCTGGCTTTCATAAAAAACCAGGTGTCTGACTTTTGGGGTGCATCATTCTGACCATCTTTAATAAGTTCACAGCCCAGTGACTGTAAAGCCTATCACTGCAAGAAGCAGCTCCTAAATCAATAAAGAGGTCTGTCATTTGCTGACTTTTCTCTAGGAAAAAAATATTGATACAAACCTGCTCTGCAGGTCACATGAAAATGACAATACTGCTGTTAGCACAAATTACACGGAATGACAAAATGTTTTGGTGGTCCCTTGGCTCTGTCAGTGATACCATGTTCGAGTGAAGGCCAGAAATTTGATTAACCCTTTGAGAACTATGATGAACATGCAAAAGGGTAACACACCAGAGGATACTCATGCAATATCAGAGTCATCGTTTTAGCTTTCCTTTGAAACTGTAACTCTACCTCTGCAGAGGTAAATTGACTTATCATGCAACATAGTTTCAAAAGAGAAATCCAAGATGCTTAAGATAAGAAGCTAAGCTATAAAATTGTTGCCAGTTCAGAAAAATTCTTGGTAAGTGGTAGAAATTATTAAAATAGGTTTGGTTCCTTTAAAAAGAAAGTAGCTGGTAAATATATTTTGTTTTCTATTTATGTTACAAAGGTTTTTCTATCAATAATGCAAATAATTAAAAACACTCGCAGTCACAGGAAATCTGTTTTGAAAAATTGATTTTCTTTTTAAACCGGTATTTAAACCTTTAAACCAAACACAATCCTATAATTTAATGACAACCAAGATTAACATCCACCAGACTCTGAAAATGGATGCAGTAGTTCTCAAAGGGTTACACCACCTATATAATACCAGTCTCAAGTTTATCAATAGCATGTTTGTTGCTTAAGTTCATCGAAATCCACTTCAGAGACACACTGCTTTTTACCATGCTTCGGAATGAGTGCTCCTGATAGGCCTATGAAAGGCCTGGGCAGTCAGCTTGGTACAGCTTGGGAAAGGTTATGTAGGAAAACCAACAAAAAATCAAACAAACCAATAAAAAGATTCTGCTTGAATATAGTATTGGATATAAATGAGTTTAAAACATTGAGGACATAGCCCAGAGCAGCTGTAAAAAACACAAAATGAATGTATTATTAAGGCTGTTACTATATTGCAGATATTTTGGCCCCTTGTTTGTTGGAAAATGGCTGTCCAAGCAGTCTGAAGTCCTGCGTGTCATTCGAGTCTCCCACATGACAAAACTGGAAGTAGGAGTATAGGACTTTATCTGTAGCAGATAGAAAGCAATCCTCTTTGGAGACAAAGCTGTTTTGGGTCTTCTCACTTTCCTGAAAGTTCCATTGTTGGTTGTTGTGTTTCTCTAAAAAAATTTACTTTCAGCAAAAAATTTTTCAAAGGGGAACAGGCCTTAAGGGGAAAATGTAGAAACATTGGAGATATTTTTTTTTCCTCTTCTTTAGTTAATCCTGATAGTTTATAGGGCATTGAGTGTGCAGAGGAAAGGCCTAGAATCGAATGACAAAGAAAGACAAAGGACTGAAGAAACAGCAGATACTGTGTATCATGGAAGCTTCCCAGCTGAGCAAATCACCACTCATGCGCAGGACAGGCAACCCCCTGGGTTTTAAAGATCAGCTTTGTTTCATACTGACAGATGCCCGCTCCTAGCTAGGAAACTGCATAACAGCTCTTGTGTTGAATCTCAAGTTACCACAAACTCCTGGGAGGGAAAGACAAAAAACCAAAACCCTACATCACACCCACTCTTGCATAGAGCGTTTGCAGTACAGTATGTGGCGGGGTGTTCCTTTCCTTTTGAACTGGAACACAGTGTAAACCAAGACAAGGAGGCACAAGGCCAGGATGCAGGGAATGACGATGGCTATGGCTTTCACAGTGCTGGCTGTGTTGTCCAGTTTGATGACAATGTCAACGTCATCTTGAGGGCTGTGTCGGTCTTTATCTCGATCTGTTGGTCCATCACAACCCATAAAATCCTTGAGGATAGATCTGGGATAGCCAGGTTCCACCCTGAGCATCTGGTTATTGAATTTCCAGTACTCTTTTCCTTTGTAGAAATATGTGAAGCCTGAGGAAGAAATTTGCAATTATTTATGGTCATATCAAATCAAATCATGTCATCAACACACCATGATGGAAACTACTTTTCGTAATTGTAATAATAAATTTTTTTTTGTAATTAAAAAATTAGAAAGGTGTAAGGGGTAGACTTCAAATCTTCTTTAGAAATTTAATTTCTTTACTGTCTCTAGAAAATCTAACATAGGGGTTTGGATGGTTTGTTGGTTTTGGGATTTTGTTGTTGTTTTTTATTCGATAAACTGGGATTTTTTTTTTTTTCATTATTACCAAAAAGAAAAAAAAAAAAGAGAGAGAGAGAATTCCAGAGAATATGATCTATGACAAGCCAAGATCCAGTTGATTTGTTCATTCATGGAAAACCCAAGTAGAGTTGGAAACCCCAGGGTCAGGACTTTAAAGCATTGCAATTTCTTCAATACGGGAAGTCTACTGAAATAAATTGCAATGTTATGCTATGTTATCCAGATATAAGAACTGCCCCACTTTACTGTTACATAGCCTATTGCTGTATTTCACAAGGAAACTGGATGAAGTAACAGCATCTTTCACATGAGAAATCAGGTGTAACCAGATTTAAGTTTTCTGTAAAGAGATGGTATTTGTTCATTCGGGGACAATCCAATGTTACTATTAAACATGCCCAAATGGGGAAAAAAGCTTGATTCTTACCAAAAATCTACATTACTTTATTATCCCAACTGAAAAATTACATTGACCTGGCAAGAAACAAATCTTCAGGATGAGTGAACTTCCTTCTACTGCTTATTAACTAAATGGAAATAGTTGAATTTTTCCATATCTTCACTTTATAGACCTCAGCTTATTTCCCACAATACTAAAGGTTACTAAGGCAGACTGGGCACTATTCATCATTTTAACAATACTCCTTGAAGAAGTTGGTAACCGTCTATCTGGAGATAGTATTAGTAACCACCTATTCAATCAACAGGTATTTTCTTACAACTCTAAACAAGAAAGAAATATTTGATTGTATATTTTGCTGCTCAAATTGTAAAAAAATCTTGATCATCTAGTACCATTTTCAGAATATTTGAGTATTTCAACATTCTTCTACATTATGCATTTTTGTAATTTTGATAGCCTTCCTAGCCAATAAAAAGGTACCATTTTCCTTTTCTTAATCCCTTTCAGTTTTATTACCTGAAAATATGCTAGTAGACCTATTGAAAGGTCTAATACAAGTCAAAAAGCAAAAAAGAAAATAAACAAAAAGTACTGAGCTGTTTGAAAACAGTAGCTAGACTTGTTCAGAAAAAGCCTTCTATTCTGATTGGAATGCAACAAAAAAGAGGACTGGAATTCTTTAAATATGATGAAATTTTAAAACTTTAGCATGTATAATTTTCTTGCAGCAATCTGTAGTTTAAATGAAAAGTATTATCAAATGCAAAATTTCAGTATTTTGAGCCACAGTCTACTCCACCTTTGCATTTCATATAATAACATGTATGTAAGAAAGTACTGGACATACTGGTCACAGATAATATTTCAAGTATGGAAATTTGATGTATTATCTCTGTCAATATTCAAATACATATATGGAGACTATATAAAGATATGACATCTCTAAATCTATATTCATGCATATATGCAGGATACATGTATGTATACAACAGGGGTACAGGTAAGTCAAAATACAGACATTAGTAGTAATTGATGTTATACAGCAAAAGGTCAAATTAAAACTCTTAAAATAAAAGCAGCAAAGGAATTTCCAGCTGCTAGACATCCAACAAAAATTTTTCAATCAGAGCACCTTTTCAGCTGAGAAACTCTGAAGGTAGTTTAAACTTTTCTGCCATTTTTGCTGAGGCAGCAACCAGGATAACAGCCAGTTACAGCTGAAAAATGGAAATTAGCAGCAGAGAAGCTTAGTTCTAAGAGACTGAGTAGTTTTACTGCTTCTCGCGGCAGAACAAATGGCTTCACACAAGTGTTGAAAGTAATTTCATCTAGTCTGCTTACCTTGTTGAGCCTACTTTTGGGAGCTGCTACTTAAAATTTTCCAGGTACTAGTCACTGAGAGTAGTGAGTATAATAGCTGACCCAAACAGCAACAAAGGGCTAAGTAGTCACGAATATGTTAAATGTACTTATGTAGTAAGGCAAAAAAAGGCCAATGAACTAATAAGGTACCTTTTCTCTTCCTTCTCCCTTAAAATTGCCCCATCATCCACTTTAGCAGAATTTCTAGTTGAAAGGTAAAATTTTCTGTGCTGCTCTCAAGACAGAAAGAGATTTCTCCAATCTGGAGATTTTTGTGTGATCTCAGATTCCATGGAAAAAAAGAAAGGAAATTTCCTCTCCGTCTCCTTCTAAGAGTTATTACCATAGTGTTAGAAAGCAAATCACATTATGGGAAGCAGCAGGGAGAGTTTCAGAGATGCTACCTGCACCTTACCAAGCTTTTAGGACACTGAGTCAGAATGCTGATTAGTGTAGGAAATAATTTTTTCTCATCCTTCCCAAGCCTTTTAAGGTGAAATTACCCAAAATTTTTGTCGTCAGTGAAGGAAACCCCTTCATAATCAGACTTATTGCAGGTGTTCGTTTGCACAGTTTACACAACAGAAAGACAAGGGAAATTAAAAGTATCCTTTAAAATGAAGTGGATTCACTGAAAGAGTTGCTTTCACTTGTTCTCTTATAAATGTATATAGTAAAACTTCTTTATCAACTCTGCTTCTGTCCAAAGAAATAAAAACAGTTTCAGACAAAATGAAATCAACTTCTTTACAATTAAGCTGTGATATTTCTTATTTCCATCTGCTTTTGTTTATTTCTTTCCTCATACTCATGACAGTGGAGTTGTGAACTGTTTCTTAAGACTTCCATTTTCCTGATTTCAGGGAAAATGTCTTAGTGGTCTTCTTGCAAACTTTATGGTGTCATTTTTCTGCCCTGGGGCCCTTATAGGCTTTCTGAGATGCCCAAGAATTCCTTTCACCTCCTCCACAATTTCTTGTCATGTTTTACCAACTTGCTCGTTAAAAGAGTCAGGCAGACTATCAAAACCACTGAGGTTAAAAAGAGAAGTGGCTTTAATGTAACCCAAAGTCTTTCCTGCCTTAGAAATATATATATATATATATACATATATATAATTCCCTTTGGATGTAAAACTTTAAAAATGCACTTAAAAAGTAATTAAAGGAAGAGGTTATAACCATTATGTTTGTCTGTGCATTCATAATGTGGGTGACTATTTCCACATATATGTGTATTTGCAAACAGTTAATTACTGAGTGTATGCACTCAGTAATATCATGTATGCAGAATATCATCTTGACTGACCTACTTTCCAGCTAAAAACAAAACAAAAAATTCCAATCTATCAAGAAGGCCAGAATACAGACAGGGTTTCTTTTTTTCTGGATAAAACAGAGACAAAACAAAAAGTAATTAAACATATTTCTGAAAAAAAACCTCAAACATTTTCATGGTAAATTACTTAATCAAGTTAGAGGTTGAAATATGAGACTGAAACGGTTTATAAAAGGAAATAAACATTTTTATCTTCTTATTAAGAGGAAATTAAAATAATATGGCAATATATATTTGTGTGCTGTCTTGTAAGGCAAACAGAATAAACTCAGAACCTACTAATAAATAAATAAATCATATAGGCCAAAAAACAACTGTCCAACAAAGTTAAGTGACAACAAATGCATATTTTTATTCCCATCAAAGGGATCTAAATTCTGTGCAGCTGAGGGCTCTGTTGGCAGTGTGCCAGCATCTCCTGGGTAGCACTGAATTCTCATAAGATGGAGAAGATTCTGGCTGTTCTCATTCATTTGGAAATGTGTCCAGCTGAGATTCTAGGTATGTCATAATGCATCTTGATGCACGTAATAATACTTCATACTAAAAGTCCTGTTATCTGTATTTGTGCATCATGGGCTTATGACATCTTCAATTTACATAAATTCATAGGAATATTTCTGCTTAGTTAAAGATTTTGCTCACATTCTCTAGTTTTTCAGAATGAAAGCAATAACTTCTAAGCTGTTTAAACAGCCAGTGCCTGGACAATTCAATGGAAATATACTGTGTATACAAAGCTCATTTTAAGACATCATATAATTCATCAGAGAACACAAATAAAGTGAATTAAGACAGAGAAAAAAAGACTGAAAAGTAATGTTTATAACACTAAATTTGAAAGCTTTCTCTTCCTTACATTAAGGAAGAGAACAAACAGCCTGATATAGGTGAACCTGGCATAGGTGAACAAACAGCCATTTTCACTAAAGCCAGTTCTATAGCAGGAAATATTCTGTTCACAAATCAGGAATTCTTTCACTACTTAAGCTGAATAGTCAATCATCCCTCTACTACTCTATCTTACATAGAGGGTGTAAGTAAATCATTAAAACAAGAATGTGTTTGCATACCATTTTCTTTGTGGACAAAGGCTCCCTGAGGAGATTCTGGGATACCTTTCCAAATTGTGATTGGCTTGGGATAACCAGGGTCCATGGATCTCATTTCTTCACTGTACCTCCAGTACCTGAATTTTTTTAAAGAGGAAAAAAATGCTCATTGGTAAGATAGAAGATAGTAACTTTATATTTCCCCCTCCTAACACTTGTTACCTTCATTAGCCACAAATGGCAATACTTGACTTCTTCTCTTTGAACATATTACCAGATTACAAAGAAATCTATTTGCTGACTGGACAACTGCTTCATGTAAGTAGATAGAAGATAAAAGATTTTTGTACTTTGACAAGTAAACCACCATGTACCTCACTTATAATGACTGCAATTCTGATGCCTAGGACTTTTGCACAGTGACACAGAGATGCAACAAATGTAAAAAAATACTTTAATGTTCTAAATAACATTTTAATAATGAAAGTGACAGCAGATTCAGATTAAAAAACTCTTTATATGTATGCATTACAGTAGCTTTTAATTTCATTATCCCTAAATAAACACAATGTGATACAAACTTCAACCTGCTTTTGTGACTTTTTTCCAGCCAGCCCTTCTCTTCTCAAATTTAAAAAGCTTCAGCACTCAAATTCTAGTAATCCTGAAAATGTAAGAAGTATTTACACTTGTGATTTTGTTTACACTTACAGATAATGTTGATAATTTCTTTTTCCTTATACTGCCTGTTAAATTGCTATGCATATCTTATGAGTTGGTTCTAAGAATCAACATACTGCATCCCTAGTATCCTCTGTGTATCCTGTCATAATATTTCAGTGGGTCATTTCATATTTTGATTGACTCCACTAATTTAGAGAGTAGTTTCCTTGGACAACTTTTTTTTCCACAATCAGCTTTATCCATATGAAAATTACATTAAAAGGCAGCCACTCACCATTTCAGGACATCAAAAACCTGAAAATATATCACTATCATTGATAATCTGGTCACTGCTAAAAACTTCACCCTTTTCCTCATTTGACTTCAGTTTTTAGAAATCCTTGTTATCATAATTCCTCATATATTAAAGAGTCCTTAAGTGGATGATATTTTGTTCCTGCGAAGGTATGTAAACACTCTAATTGATTCACATTTTAATTTTTCTTTTTAAATAAAGTGGTCTAAACCTCACAATTTAGACAATGTTCCCTGTGGTGCATTTCTCTGGCTTTAAACTTTTGATGAAATTAAAAGGTGGCAGATTTCAAGTGGGTTAAGAGCTAGCAAGTAAGATTAAAAAGATGTATTTTTTCTTTCTTATGCATAAATTATTTTTATAGTCTGATTTCTTAGTCTAGTCACGTATGCATCAGTAACCAGTCAACAAAGCAATGCTCTTTATTTGGAAATGTAACATCTTTGAGAGTTTACATGCCGAAAGAAACAACACAAAGAAGTTGCAAACAAAGCTCTGACTTCAATACTATTGAAACCAGTTCTTCCTCATCTTTTGACTCTAATTTTCATCCTTAGTTTACATTTTTTTAACAAATATATTATGATTGAGTTTTATGAAGAAAGAATATTCATTTAAAGTCTAAAGTACATAAAACTGGTCACACCAGACGGGGGTATAAACAAGCTCATGTGTCAAGCAGTGCAGCAAACCTATTATCATCTATCCTGTACTACTCAGTTCTGGTAGAAGAGGAATAAGAGAGGGAAAAATATTTTCTGTAGTCATGTTTTTCCCTCTTAAGGTTTCATATAATTATTTGGAAGAATTATCATTAGTGTTGAAATAGATAATTTCAAATATTAACAGCAATGTTCCATATATGAGCCGGTTTAGACATATAAGTATTACAACAGCATTTACTGTTTTGACTTTTAAATCTTGTTACTGGTTTGGTTTATGGGATTTTTTTGTCTGTTTGTTTATTTGGTTGGTTGTTTGAGTTTTAATTATTATTTTTATTTTATAGTCAACATTTGACACTTTTTATTCTATTGCTCTAATTTTTTTTATGTATACCATTGTACTGGGACATTTTACTGTGTCTAGATTCTGCCCTGGAGCTCTTTAACTACAGATTATTGTCAAAACCAACTAAGTGTACAGGTCCTTGAGGTACACAAGGAGTAACATACTTTGTTACATTGATGCTGGCATAACTGTTTACTTTCCTTTCATTCCTAATTTATGCCACCAAGAAGCTGCATTTATGTTATACCTTCTTCAGGGAAAGATCCACATCCATAACAGACTTCTACATACTACTAAAACCAGCAGGAGAATCCAACTCTAACTTTGCTTTAAGAAAAAATTGTGATATAAGCAATACACATTGAGAAACTTAGTGGTATATGGGTTTATTCTCACTGATGGTCAATATCCTCTAATAGCTCAATTATCTCTGCAAGGCTCATGCTCAATCTTCTTCTAACATACTGTATTGCATTTATGTCTTGCTGAGTTTCATTGTGCTTGTTAGCTCTAAGTAGGGAGCAGATGTTTTCTCTGCTTGTTCCTTTCATCTTCTGTTATTACCAATGGTGTTTTAGGAAAGTCCGGGCTATAAGTAACTGCCTATGCATGGAAATATAAAAGGACATTGCTGAATAAAGCCTAAAGAAAGTACAAGTCACAAAAGATTCCTTCTGTATATACTTTAATAATGCATGTGGAGGTAGAAAATTATTACCTGAAAAATGAATTTATATTTGTTTTATAAAATCTACTCCACCATAGGAAGCAAATTATTTAGGTGACTTTCTACTTCACTGTGGAAATTGATTGCTTTTAATGATAGCTAATTTTCAAACACGACAAAAATTTTATTTAGCTATCTACTTTCCCTATTTTAAAAAAAAAAAAAGCTTTAATAATAAAATTTGTTGCAGCAATCTGTAGTGTAATATTACAGTACTGCTAAAAATTATGAACTGTAGTGTGCTAAATATATTCTATGATGTGCATGAAATTAATTTCTTAAGTGATCCATGAATACTATTAGTGTCTGAGAACTCTACCACACAGTAACAAAAGCAGTTATAGTTTTAATAATACTAATAGAAACATCACAGTCATTGCTAAAGAGTAATTCATCTCTGAGCACACAGAATTTGCACAGTGATACATCAGTAAACAAACCCAGTATCATACCGAAAACCTGCAAAATCCATCATTCAAATAACTTGCAGGGTTTCAAAAATTAATGAGTTTTCTTGACATCTCTACAAAGCAGACAAATATTCTTCCCTTTTTTTAATAGACAGGGAAATGAAGACACAGAGACTAACTGACTAGTGCAAATCTTTTTCAGGAACGGAAAAGAACTCAGATTTCACATTTTTTCTGTGTTTTTGGTTTTTTTGGGTTTTTTGGGTTTTTTTGTTATTAATCATGACTATAACTGTCCCTTCTGAAGGGAACTATAAGATTTATTTAAAACTGATTCCAAGAAACTTCTCAAATTCTTTTTTAGCTTCCAGGTTTAGCTGTCATTTTCACTAACCTTAAAAAGATTTGGATCATGCCTTCCCTGTTTATGTGTTAGGGTTTAGAAATGTGGATAAAAAGAAGCAGGTAAGAGTGTACATAAATACATTGCTTTGAATATTTAAGTTTAAACTTGCCACACCCATGACTTGCCTATTCACTTCTAAAACACAGCTTTTCTACTGTATATACATATACTCATTTCAGGATACACACACAAATATAATTTAAGTTATAAGAAATGTGAAAATAGTGTGGCTGTCTATGTGGGAGTAGTTAATTTCATCCACAGAATATGAACTGTTTAAGTGTCTTGACTTCTTTCGAGAAAGAGAAAAAGGTTAACATGTTTAGCTGATATCCACCAAGCTGTTTCCTTGCAGAATTCCTATACCAACCTATCTCCTTTGAAGAAGTAGGTTTTTCCAACATCTTCCCACCAAATTGCTGAATCAATGCCATGGGAAGGAATTCCACTTCCAAGTGTTATCAAATCATGAGGATAACCTGGCTGGAGAGTAGTGTCCTTGAAAATCCAGAACTTGTTACCTGTGCAAAAGCATATATATACACATACATATATGTGTGTTAGTCATCAGTACTCTCAGTAGTAATACACTCCTAAGAAGTAATGAAGACTCCCAAAGGGCTGTAGTAATGGTTCAGCCAAACACAATGACATGAAAATTGTTCTGTCACTGCACATATTGCAAAATTAAATATGCTTTAAGGATACTTTGCATTTATAAAGCATCTTCCTTTCAATAAGCCCACAGAATATTTTTTATACCAACTACATAGTGATCAAAACTGGAATGAAAATGAAGTCATCTTAAGAGGCTCTGTGGTTGATAATGTAATATATTCACAGAAATACAAAGCAGTTTCACATTTCATGAGGAAAGAAGAGTGAATTTTATAAGAAAATAAGGTAAGAAAACATTTAAATAAATAAAAATTTTTGACACATTTTCTAGTGTGTTCTAAAGACATACAACTAAGATTCTGAAGTCCCACAGGTGAAAGCCTTTTGTCTCTGAATTAATGGTGGGTCGCCAGTGGCAAGACTTAACCTTTGGATGTAGGTGACAAATCATTCAAAACCACCCAATTGACTTATTACATGATAAAAATACAAGGTAGTTGTATGACTCTAGCTGATAGCACAGTGTCTGCACAAACCTCAGATTAGCCAGGTTAGTCAGGTTACTGTCTCAAACATGAATAATAGCCTAGCGCTTCCTGGACTGCAATGCTCAGTGGCTGAATCCCTACTGTTGCAGTTACTAGATAAATATATTGTCTATATAGGGGTGTGCATGCCTACAGAAGCAGCTACTGAACCAGTGTTTTACAGTATAGATCCCCCCTGTGGAGAGGATGCTTTCTGTGCTCTGTCTTGGAACCGGACAGCTTACCTCACCAGTTCACAACTCCAGTTTCCAAGATTCAGCTTTTGCTGTACCTTCCTAGCCAAGCTCTTTCTCAATTAACACTTCCACAATTATCTCACCTGCTTCATCATCTCATATTAAGCCTATAGTCCAATAATTTCCCCGATAATAGTGTTGTCCTCCTAGGGTCTTCCCAACATACTCTGCTTCCTGTCCTATTCTTGCAACTATCTTCTCCATTTTACATTTTTGTTTTCTTCTAATTCTTCTTCAAAACACACTTCTCACCTGTGTCTTTTCAGCAGAGACTTCTCTTTCAAACACAGACAGCTTTGGCTGAAAAAAAGGGAATAAAGATCCTCATATGCCCCCTAGAAATAGGGAAAAGGGAGCATAATTTGCATTTACGTACTTATCTGAAGAGCTTGCTTTGATGCCTGTCTTCTCTTTGCACTGTCCCACAGGGACACTCTCTTCAACCTAGACTATAGGCTCCATTGTGTAGGAACCATGTGTTTATTTTCTCTTTAAAGAACTACCTTAATCTGTGTTTCCAAAAAGCATTTCTATTTTTATTAATAGTTATACTGAAGGAGAAGATACTCTTTGACATCATGTGGACTCATCTGAGTTAAATCACAGAAAGGTCTAGAAAAGATCCATGAATATATATATTGAATTGGCCTTATTGGATACTTCACTTTGGTCAATCCATTGTCATTTATGATGATAATATTGAAAATATAAGGGGAAAAGTTTGAAAATATATTTTGCTCAAATGCATTTGGAAAGAGGACTTAAGAGATAAAATCATTGCTGCTTACATTAGTCTTTGTACTTACCTGTAAGGCTAGACTGGCTGTAACACAGATGTAGGAGATTAAGGTACTGTATTAAATAAATATTTTATGAAGAAATGTAATATTACCCCAAAGACCTAGGATCAGGTGTATGCCAGAAGCATCAAGAGGGAAAATCCATAGAGATGTTTTGCAGTTGGTTTTATATTCTAGCTATCCCTCAGTGATATTAAATGTTTGTTTAAAGGGAGGGGTTTTTTAATCTCCCTGTTTGTACTACAGTGATTTAAAGCACGTTTTCATTTTATCACAGTGTTAATTAGGAGAAGGGGTATAGTTTCCATCCCTCCCATGCTGGGTTTCCAGAGTTAATTTTTTATCAGCTTCTTTACAGCTGCTTGTCACCCACTTCCAAGCACAGACACTACAGTTTGATCAACAGATCCGTCTTATCCCCCCTGCCAGTTGAAAGAAAAAAGGACTCAAAGAATGAGTAGAAACAGAGCCATTTGAAGTATTAAAAATAAAAGAGGCACAGAGATCTATGAAGAACAGTCATGGAAAACTGAGGTCTGTGTTGACCTGGGATTAAGGTTTGTGCTAACCTGTGATTTATCTTTAGTGAAATGCCTTAGAAAATTCACTTATAGGGTTTGATCACGACAGAGGTGAGTATTTTCCATCATTCTCTGTCCCTTCTCCTACGTGGTTTATACTTTTGCCAATTCACATAACAGGACACAGAAGGCTTCAGATGTTAATGGCAGTTTTTCAAATGCAATGATAAGAAAAGTCATGGGTTTTGGACCTTACTAGTTGGTACTCACAGTGTGAATACAGATGGCATCCAGTGAATGATACTGAGCCAACTCATTTATATTTCAGAAGATCATTCAAAATGACAGCTGTTACACAGCATTGAAAGGCATATGCAGTGCCAATACCTTTCTCTGTGTCTCACAAGGAATAAAAGTAAAAGCAATTGTTGTGAATAGATCATTATCTGCCCTACCACAAGGAGGCAAAATTAACTATTAACAAGATCAGGTCATACCAAAATAAACCAGGGTTGAGCACATACCATTATAAGTGACAACACCACTGAGCCAGGTATTTGTAACTTATTCAGATATACTGAAATAGAAGGAAAGTGTATATGTGGGAACAGACTTAAGAAACTAAATTCTTCTTCACATAATTTCTTACTAAGAAGCAAATTCTTTCTCAGTAAACTGAGAAAAGGTAAATTTAACTGTATTTCAAGGAGACAGTAGGGCTTTGAGAGCTCTAACATATGTGAGCAAGACCCATTGATGCTAACTAGAGGGAATTTTATTTAATATTTGCTTTGGAAGATATGTTTAGTAACTGTGTTGTTGTAATGTATGTTGTATGTATGTTGTAATGTATGCTGTAACTGTGTTGATTGTTAATGAGAAGTACTGTATATAAGAAATCCAAATGTTCCATCTGGCTGACAGTTTTCACTTTGGTTTTTTTGTTTGTTTGAGTCTTTTTAGGTGGTACATTGTCGATTTTGTTGTTTTGGATTTCTTTTCTGCTTAGCTTCTATCCCTCAGCTGGAGGAAGGCGATGACTATTACTAAGAGGATTTCAGAAAAGTCAGAATGCAATATTAGGAGAAGTTAAAGCCGGAAATCAGGTCAAAAAAACCCGCCCAACTGTGATGAGAATGAGCTAATTTTATTTCTAACTTATGTTTATGTAACTTAAAATATATTACAAAGTAATGCCTGTCTGTATACTTTCATGTAGCTCATGTTCCACTCCCACCAGTAAATAGTTGATGCACTCCAATAACTGTGAGTACAATGGAAATAAAGAATATATGAAAAAACTAGAATAGTTAAGTTTTTATTCTTTTTATAGGTAACTAATGCTTCTTTAGAGTCATAACCTATGCCCTTGGCAGAATTACCATTGTATTTATTTTACAAAGTTGTTTTTTTAAGGTCTTGTTGGTACGTTTGTTATTCTCACAGAGAATAAAGCACCACATTTCATGAAGTCTGGTCAGCCTTCAGAATGTTTCATCTCTCTGCTTTTCTTCCCTAATGTAAGATCTAATATAATAAGAAGCAGATTGGTAAGGTCACAAACTGAGAATAAAGCAAGAGATAAAAAAGCTAAAATGTCTTATGTTTTGCAATAATACTTTGTTAAATATCAGCACTGTAGGGAAACAATTGAGAAGGATGAACCATGCAATTATTTGAAGTCTCTCAACATCTACCTTTGACATTCTAAAAAATTACTGGAAATAGAGGGTACCTGTATTGCTATGCTTCACTTAAAAAAATGAATATTTACTGCTAGATATTTTTCAGACTATTTAACTGCCTACTGACTACTGCAAACAATTATGCAGTTTCTAGCAATTGTAGTTCTTCCTCTATAGAATTGGAATGATAAATAGTTGTGCTTCTCAGTTATCAGAAACTGAGTTTTTTGTTCAAATTATTTGCAATTATGATGTATGTGTAGTGCAAGAAGTGTGTGGTATATAATCACTGTGTTAGAGGGGTGAGATGAATTCTCAAAATTTTAAAGAATTATATGCATTTGAAATCAGTTAAAATATTTAATATCTAATTCTGAACGTTGTTTTTTCCTGTCACCTTTCCTCTTTATTTTGGTCTTTTAAGTAAGGATCAAATGTCTCTCTACTAGTACCCCCAAATTACTACCCATGCTTCCTTTTTTTCTCATTCTCTATTTCCCACATTAAGTTTCTGTCATTTCTCTGTTCCATGATTGACACTATAGTAAATCTATTTTCAATATAAAACTGTCAGGCCATGGGATAAGTGCAATTGAAAGTTGTGATGGAGGCACTGGTAGTATGAGTTTTACAGCAGCCTTCTATTGCTACATTTGGTTTACCATGACATTCAACAGCACAGATGGCTTGAAAATTTCATTTTTAGCATGATATAAATTCCCACAGGTACACAGAATGAATTTTAGTATTCACGCTTTCTCATTAAAAAAAAAAAAGTATCTTTATAGTGCCGTCTTCTTATTAGCATTCAGCATAGACACCAGCAGTGAATAATAACAAGAATTTAAACATCTGGTTTTTATAAGCAGCTATCCACCAGATTACTGTGTACTTTATGAGTATGGTCTGGTCTACTGGAGGCTGATGGGGTCCATCTGGCAGAGAAAGGAAAGAGCATTTTTGTTCATAGGCTTGACAAGCTGGTAAAGAGGGCTTTCAACTACAGTTGTTGGTGGAGGGGCACTTCAATCCATCCCACTCCTACCAGTGTGATGCCAGTGCTGGCAAGAGATGTCCAGAGCCTGGGGAGGGATCACAGGTAAGCAGCAGAGCACCTGAAGAACAGCACAAAGGAATTCCAGCCACTCCAGCCAGTAAGTCTCTTTCATCTGGGGCATCAAATTAAATGCTTCTACACAAACACATGTATCCTGGGGAATAAGCAACAGCAGCTGGAGATGTGCACACAGCTGCAGGGCTGGGATCTTACTGGTATCACAGAGACATGGTGGCATGGCTCCAATGACTGGAATATTGGAATGGAAGGCTACAGGCTCTTTAGGAAGGACAGGCAGAGGAGAGGAGGTGGGGTTGTCATGTCAATGACCAAGTTGAGTGCATGGAGCTCTGCCTGGAATAGATGAGGAGCTCGCCCAGTGGTTATGGGTCAGCACTAAAGGGAGGGCAGGAACAGGTGACAGTGTGGGTCAGAGGAGTGCATAGTGGCATTAATCCAGTATAAGTTCTCTGCTTTCACTTATTCCATTTTTCTATTTTATTCTCTGAATAATGGATCTAAATATTGGCTTAGGTACGTGCTTTGTTAACACATCTATATGCCAGGCTTCAGATTTAAAGCTCATTCTAGAACTTACTTGTTTTGACCAGTTTTAGATTGGTAAAGCACACCAGTTGTTCATCATCTTAGAAACAATCAACTCGTCTATTTCTAGCACCTTTGGGAGGAGGACAGGTGCTCTTTTCCAAGGAAGAAATTTTGTTAGGGAGTGAAAGAAACAAGACAATGAATGTTTACCTACAGTCTATTTACATAGACTTCTGTAATCATGTTCCACAAGGCAGATTCTTGGTTAACCTGAGATTCTCGGTTAAAAGGAATTTTCAAGAACAACCATACAAAAGACTCAGCTGAACTTTATGATTCTGTGGCAGTGGACATACATGAATTACACTGCTAGACAAACACCACCAGTTCAATATGATGCCTTAAGCCCCTAATGTTTTTTATTTAAGACTTGTAAATTTTATAGGTAGGTTTTAAAAGCAGAAACCCCTCTGTCCCTTGTTCCTTTCCCTTGTTTATACATTCCCTAACCCTTTTACCCCATTCTATGCCTTCTATATCAACCTACCCCTGAATCCAGTAGCAGTGTTTAGTCTTTTGTCAAGGTAAAGGCCCAGACTGTTTGGAGAACAGCGTATCAGGGCCTAAACCACAGAGTACGGTCAAAAACTAGGTGACAATATACCCTTTGTACTCTGATGAAGCTGAAGATGATGAAGTAGGTGGTCCCAAAAAGACCCCAGACCCAATTCTCAGGGGGAGGACCCGGGGCGGTCCAGAGGAAGGGCCAAAGGGTGGACACATCTGGGATTGGATGGATAATGCTATAAAATGTAACCTCTCGGGCACGGCGGGCGCGCGCGTCTATATCACCTATTGCCTTGGCAAATAAACCCTTTCTTATCTCACCCCTAATTAACTGCTCCGGAGATTTTTTTCAGAACCAAAATACACCGGCAACAAATATTGCAAATCATGAAGAAGTGACAGAGAAGCAAAATTTTTTTAAAAAATTGCACAAGGAAATTTGAGGAATTGACTTTGGCAAACAAAGGGACAATACAAATGTCATTGGAAAAATAATGGAAGAAACTTTGAAAAGAAATCATATGGAAAAATACCTGCAGCAGAAAATCCAAGTATCATATGATCTCAGCTAGAAGGCATAAAACTAGCTGATATGAAATCAGATAGCATAAACTGGGGATGATGAGAAAGGAAAACACAATGTTCTGACAATCCTGCTCCTCCTCCTTGCTTTAATTAATCTTGGTTTGATTTCCCAGGTAGAAAATAGAGAAGTTGCCTCCTCCTTCTGTGGTCTGTTATCTATAACCTACTGACTACTGAGTACACCCATTCCTCTAAGTCCTAACAAGAGCCAGTAAGCATTGGGTGAAGAGTTAAATAACAATAAAACATATTTCAAGGTCACTGGGAAGGAAAGAAGGTATAAGAGTAAGCTTGATCAATTCTGTCTGGAGCTCAGGTAGTGGATCCCAGCATTATCAAGGCTGAGGTCTGGAACGCACAGGGTAGTTCCTTTGCTCTGTGTAGCACTGGTGAGCAAAGGAATATCTACCAAATTATATTTGTATCCTTCCATGTCCTAGGGACCCAAAAATCAAGTAGAGGGATGGAGGTACCTTGATCATGACTCCAGTCTTAACAACTTCCCAGAATTAGTGGCTTGAAGTTTATTTTATGGCAACAAAAGTAAAAACATATATTGTCTTGAAATCATAGAAATAGAAAATGTACTATATGGAATTTAATTTTCCTCATAATTCACATAAAAAATACAATTTGTCTATTAGCAAAACATAAACTTCACTGTAGTGTTATGTAGTGTTTCTGCATGTTATTAAATATTTTTCATTTAACATTCCCAAGATCACAATATTTCCATAGTGAATTAAATATTATTTCTAGCTCCCTGTCAATGATTCAACTTGTAAAAATGAATTAATTTTTGATGTAACAATTCAAAATAATTCTACTATTTTTTGTAATGAGTTAACAAATTAATCACTTACATCACTAAATAGCTGAATAATTTTCCACATATCTGTATATTAAATTTCTTCTTTCTCCTCTTAAATTATCTTATAAAACATACTTTACGTAATTTGCAAACTTTCGTTGTTAAATATGTATTTATTAAATATATAGTATAATTTGCTCATTAAATCTAAATTAAATACATGTTCAAGAACTTTAATTTTGAAGAACAGCAGATGTCTGGACCAAAACTATGAACAGAATGATAAGCAAAAATTCAATCCATAACGCCTATTTTCTGCAGCTTATGCTTCTTTAAAAATACTAAATACACGTCAGTGAAAAAGATAATAATTTTCCCCACCCAAAACTCCTAACATCACAGTTCTTAGATGAAACAAACAGTGCAGTACAGTGAGATATATATAGCAGAGATGCCATTTAAGTATACGAGAAGATCATTTGTTAAAAGGAAGAAAAGCAAAGAAAACCACAAAGAAAATTAATAACGGAAAGGTGTTCATTGTTGCTTCCTAATCCACATTTTTCAAAAAGGATTTCATAGTAGGTCACTGCATTGCTATGTCTTGTATTTATACTTCCAAATTTTTAGTGAATATATAAGAGCAGATAAACTGATACTGTGAAGGATAACCATAAATTAAAGATGTAGTTGTCAAATAAGAAAATGTAACTCAAATACTCTTCATTTAACTACCAATTTGCAACAAGATCTACAAATCATTAGCAAAAATAAGCAAGATATGTTTCAAGAAATAATCACAGTCAAAAGTATTACATAAAATTTTACCTTTTTTCTTTCTTACCTTTAAAGAAGACAAAATTCCCCTCACTGTTTTCATAAACTGCATCAATGCTGGGAGGCAGTCCCCTCCAGAAGTAGGTAATCTGCATGGGGTATCCATCCATTACCCTGTTGTTTCTGACCCGCCAAAACCACTGATCCTGGAAACCAAATATACACCTCTTACTCCATTTATATGTGTTCAGATGTTGTCTTGAAAATACTGAACAGCCTATCCTAGCATTTTTAGAGCATGACCTTTCGCTGTTTGCAGAACCATGTTGTGTTTGCATTCATGTCACATCCACACATTACAAAAGTGTCAGACCTAGTTGTTCCCCGAGGTGGGAATAAGCTACACATGTGAATAGTGTGTTTGCTGAAGATAGCCTTTGGCAGAACATACACAGTTCTGTACGAGATGATGTAACTTTCTCAATTTCACTCCTATAAGGGGCCCAATTTAAAATTTGTGGTCTGACTACAAGTGCTTTAAACTGAACCATAAGCACATGTGTATGCTTAATATAATGGGACTGCAGACAGGCTTAGATGATCAATAATTCTGCAGGTGAATTTTTTTGCAATGGCTGCTAACAGTGAAAGGTTGATAGGTATATGTGTAACATTGCTACATCAGTCCAATAAGAACTACAATTTGATGTGAATTTTACTGTAGTGAAGATTAACAATCTTTCTGTGTGATATTAAATAGAATGGCTAATATTACGGCCATATATATATATATATATTTATATATATATAAATTATTTATTTATTTATTTATATTTATACATAATAGGTGCTAAATCCAGCTAAATCTAGTTTGTGGTACACTAGATGCGTATCAATAAAGATATTGTTATATCTCTTCAGGTCTTATAACAGCAACTGTTTCACCTTATTCAATATTTAGAGGCAAAGGATAGGGTAAGCAAGTATTTAACTTCTTACATATGTGTATATTTTTCAGCATTAGTATTGTAGAAAACAACCCTACTTAAATAATAAAGAACATGATATTCTGTTAGATATTTGTCTTGGTTTTACATGGTAGTTCTTCCTGTATAGTCAACTTACCAAGCACGAGAGGTTCTTACAGGACTTGGCACAGCTTAGAGACAAGATGAATACTTTGCAGGAGCAGGTTTATGATGAACTGTATTCATCATCTTTCTAAACCTGAGATCACATCTCTCTTTAATGGTTTATCTTTCCAAAGACTTAACAATTTATAAATTTCCACAAAAAGTATTAGTCATACAAGTATAAACCAGCTCAATATATATACAAAAATACATCTCAATCATCTGTGTAAATGAATCTAAAATTGAAACTGTTGCTTTGAGTGCCAGATTTATGAGAAATTTACTATTAAAAAAAAAAGTTCAAGCAGTTACACAACCTGACGAAAATATTATACTGGGAAGTTGTAATTGCCTGAAAATAACACTAATACAAATTCTCACATTTTTTCATGTCTAGGTATTTCATTGCCTGTATAATGCAGTTGCACTACTCTCATCCAATTAGATTCCTGTTTTCAGTTTTTATTTTTGTTTTATTAAAAAATGTATTTTAACATTTGAGGAAGGTCAACAAGACCTTCCTTTAGGATTAATTGATTAAATTTCAGTAAGATAACTGGCAAAAGGAGGGGAATACAACTTGGAGATACAAGTATTTAGGAAGTGAAGCACGTGTTCTGAATGCTGATACAGATAATGCTAATTTCTGTTCTTTTTTAATATTGTGTGTAGATAAGACATTTGGAAGTACTTTTTCATTGAAACAGTAATAAATGTTTGAAATGGATTTTCTAGTCAGATTTTTTCAGCATCATCAATCTGGATATGACTGAGAAAGGAATGACATAATGCTAAGTCTCAGTAGACGAAACAGTCCTTTTTGCTCCCCAAATTTCTATAAAACCCTCAGAAGCCAGGGTTTTCTCTGAGACTGATCTCAGAGATCAGTTATTTATTTTTTTTTAAATGAACAAACAAGTAGCAAGCTGCATTGATTTGAAACTGCAGAATTTGTGTTACCTGCTACTATCTTCAGTGCAATGGAATATTTTAAGCTTGTCTTTCCTCACTCCCAGACAGATAACCCTTTTTTTGGTCTGAATTTTGTTGCAAAAGCACATCTTTGACAACAATGTTTAGTTGAAGGAAGGAACATACCCATCTCTCATAAAATGTCCTCTAACTCAGAAGGACATTGATCAAGTTGCGGGTGCAAAATAAGCAAGATATTTAAAGCTGAACAAAGGCTAACTACTTTGCTGAATACAAAAGGACATAAGTACATGCATAATTGCTTCATTGAATAGAGGTCATAAATGAAATGTCCAGGCTTTCAGGAGCTTCCTGAGAGAGCACACATACTCTGGAAAATCTAGATATTGGTGCTATAGACAAAGCTTATAACATTCTAAGTTGGCTAATGCATCTCAACATTCAGCTAGTAAACCAAACCAGATCTTGCAAATCATATTCATGTGTTACTAGGGAAGGATTTCTTTAGTTCTAATGATATCAGTTATCTTCTTTTTATCAGACTTATGCTACATTGTTAAATATTCAATTTCATTGATTGCATTGTTTTGGCTTGGTTTTGTTTTTTTAATGGGAAAAAAAAGAAATAAAACAAACAAACAAACAAAAATACCCAAACTTTAAATAGTCATAGCTATATTCAGAAGTTCACAAACTTTCAAATTTTAAGATAGAGATGGCTGGAGTAGCAAGTAGTCTTTTTTGGTTAGAGCAGTACTGCATTGGTGATTGGCTAGTACCATCCCATCATGGTCATCTTAGGTAAAATACCAAAGTGTCAGTGGAATGAACTCAGTAAAGAGACTAATCATGCATTCTTGAAAGAAACAGACTCTGTAACGAACACAGATTTCACAGTGCAACAAAATCTGTAAAATCAAGTCAACAAATATATTTTTCTTGAGAATGAGTTATGTTTCAGCGTTAGAGATTTATGGAGTATATTTGCATGATTTCATTTTGATAACAAGACCAAAGAAATTATATTCTGCAGATTTGGTATTGAGTTGCATGTCAAATTGTATTTCATATTTAATATTGTTGATTTTCAGTATAATAGTGAGAATATTCTTATTCATTCATTTTGCTCAAATTCCTTAGCAAACCAATAATTTTCCCTGCTATGCAATTAAAATCTTAACAATAATATAATTATGGCAAGGCTGGAATGTTTGATTCATGCAGCATGACCCCATAAATTTGTTTTTAAATGTGTATATATGTGTATATCTATATACAGTAATGTGAATACTATGTATCCATAATCTTTCAACAAGAAATAATTCAAGGTATCTGACAAGAAATTAATCCAGCAGGGTATTAACTGTGTAAACACATCCATCCTAGACTGGCACAGGCCTTTTCATCTGAGACTGATTATAGATCCCCACTCTTTCCTATAGTCATTTTAAAGATACTTCCAATAGAATGGTATCTCACATGGTATCATGAAAAATCAGGAATCTTCAAAATCTTTTTTTAAATATGTACCTTCTTACTTCCCGAATTCTACAAAGAAATGAGACTGCTTACTCTGCTCTAATACTACTAGATTAGTGCTCAGTGAGTTATGTAAGTGGAAATGTCTTGACCAGATTTATATGTCCGCAATGTACAAATCTGTTTAGAAATGAACCAGTGAACTTCACCTAATGAAGCTCCCTCACTGAAACATTCTAAGGTAAGCATCACTTGGTTGTTTATTTCTCTACATTGACTAAAAATGGAACCTAGAAACCTGGCTCCTGTTCAGATGTCCACTTTTCACAAAGTGGAAATCCAAATGCAAGCAAAATACTGTTTGTTGTCTACTTTTTGTCTCCTGGGTTCAACCTGTCATAATGCAAAAAACATAAAATCAAAAAGATGACCACATAGGGTCAGATGAGGGTCCATCTAGGCCTGTATTCTCTCTCCAGTGGAGCCAACAGCAAGTTAACAGATAAGACTTCAGCCCTGAAGTGATCAAGCAGTTGGACTAGATGACTATTGTAGGTTCTTTCCAACTGCATTGCTCTACACTACTGTATCCTGTGATGATAAAAAAAAAAGGAACATGCAATGACACCTCTCTGATACACTCCCAGCTACCCATCACTTGTAGTTCAGGGACCTCTTGAACCAAAGGCATTGATTTTGTGATTGATAGCACTTGATGGGCTTTAACTCCTTTGGACTCCTTCCTAAACGCACGCAAAGTTAGAGCATCCACAGCTACCTGCAGAAATGTGTATAACAATGTAACAACCTTTACTGCGAAAAGCCATAAGCAATCAGGAACAGCTACAGCTGCTCACCGGTGTTCAACCCTCATTCACCTGATTTGTTTATCACCAAGATCAGTAGCACGTTAACTGCAAGATCTAATTCAGGGTCTTTGTTGCTTTATATTAAAAACACCTTGTAGATTAAATCCTTTTGATTATTTTCACAAAAACTTTCTACACTGTAACACATCTGGCCAACATTTAGGGTAGCAGATCTGTGGCTTGAAAGAAGATCTTCCTGGGTCATTGCCTTTAATGTCTAAATATTCCATTTTGAAGCATAATTATGAACATAACATACCATATTATCTGTTCTACAGGATGGAATCCTGTAGACTCCTTATTTTCCTGATCTATTTTCAGCATATTTACGTGATACTGCAATAATCATGAACAATGGGATATTGCTTATCAGTAAGGACCCTACAGGTTTCCACAAAACTAAAATTTTGTAAGTTTATAATTTTAGCATTTTTATGGTCTTATTTAAACAGGTAGAAGTTGGCACAAGATTTGTCAATAGATGTAATTTCAGAGAATCAGCAGATATTTGGAAACATCTGAGGGCAGAACTGAAACTTTGGACCATTTATAAGATTGGGGAAGGTAGGTGTTGGCAGAAGTTGATGGAATAATTTGTTTGTGTAAATTTAATTTTCCTGTCTGACTTTCATATGAACATACTGGACTCAATGATTTTAGACTGCTATAGTTCAAACTCTGGAACTCAAGGAACTCCAACTTGTGGCTGTAAAGCATGCCAAGAATCTTTCTGAAGTATCAGATGGCATAGGCTCTGCTTGTAGAAAGAATGCATCATTTCAGCACATATAA